GCATGTTAGGCAGTGCTGAGTGGTGATGGGTGCGACGGACAAATAGAAAACCCAGGTCCAGCGTGCTGGCGTAGTGGAAGAGACCAGTGGGGCCAGGGGCTCAGCTGGGAGAGGGAGGAGTCAGAGAAGAGAGGCAGCTGGGTGAGGACATCACATTTCATTCTTGGTGAAATGGGAACCACCAAGTGCCAGGATGTGCTGATGCTTTAGAAGGGTCTAATGCAGCGGTTCTCAACCTGTGGGTCACGACCCCTTTGGGGGTTGAACGACCCTTTCACAGGGGTCGCCCGATTCATCACAGTAGCAAAATGACAGTGATGAAGTGGCAACAAAAATAATGTTATGGTTGGGGGGTCCCCACCACATGAGGAACTGCATGAAAGGGTCACGGCATGAGGAAGGTTGAGAACCGCTGCTCTAGCAGCTGTGTGGACGGTGGACTGTGAAGGGCGAGGAGGGACCAGCCCCTGTTTACTTGGTCTGGGGCAGAACATGTCTGTTAACATTCCAGAGCAAATGCATGAGTAGGTAGGTAAGTGAATGAGTGCGTGAGGGAGGGCGAGGGAGGCCTGCTTTCCGGAGGGTGAACATGTTCTACAATTACACAGCGGTGAGGGCTGCACAGTTCTGTGGATATACTAAAAAATCACGGGCCTCTACACTTTAAAAGGGGACTTGTGTGGTATGTGAATTCTCAGGTTTTAAAAAAATGCAGAAACACAATCGTTAGGACCCCCTGCAGCAGGTGGGAGCTCACTGAGCTCTGAACTCCTTTGCTAAGCAGCTCGCACACGCCAGATGCATGGTTGAGAGACCTGACCTTCGTTCTGAGGAAGAACTGTCCATCAGAGGAAACACCAGGACCCTGGGCACTAGACACAACACTCTATGCCAACCCTGTTTTTGTGTTTTTTTTAAATCATTTTATTGGGGGCTCATACAAATCTTGTAACCATCCATCAGTCGATAGCCAACCCTGTTCTAACAGCTCCCAGTGGAACAAGCAGGCAACCCCCACGCAGTCTGCAGACTGTAACTGCCGCCAAAGGCAAGCCTGCCCGGTGACCCAGCTCTGTGCTCTTTCCAAGCCTGTCAGATAACTGTCCACTCTGACGCAGGCAGTGTGAGGCTCACAGAGAAGCCATCCCTCTGCCTCATCAGCTGCAGGGCGGCCAACCTGATCCCCACCTCAGCACCTTAATAGCTCAGCCTTCCTCCTTTAAAAAAAATTAGTTATTTTTTTTTTTTTTTACAGCCTTCCTCTTGGCACCAGGCAGGGCAGCCTGGGATGAGGGAGGGAGGGAGGTGGGGAAGGTGGGTGCTTGGGGGAGATGCCCACACTGCAGCAGGACGAAGCAGCTCGGTCAAGATAGGAGCTGGGGGTGTTGCTGCGAGCGATCAAGTCGCAGCGCTGTGCTCCACAGAATGCAGCACTGCAGGTCCTGCAGCACCCTCACACTTGTTCCTGTGCCTGAGCCCCCTGGCGCCCCCACTGTGCCAACCCAGCTCATGGAGGACCTTTTTGTCGTCCTTCCACTTTACCAAACACGCTGTTTTCCTCCAAGGACTCGTCTCTCCCGACACTATGTCCAAAGTATGGAAGACCCGCTGTCCAGTGGGACACACCAGGCAGCAGGCCTCAGCGTGGTCAGGACAGGAGCTGGGGGCGGTGACAGTGTCGGTTCCAACCCATAGTGACCCTGCGCACAACAGAAGGAAACGCTGCCCGGTGAGGGCCGTCCTCACCCTTGATCCCGAGCTTGAGCCCCTGACGCCGCCGCCGCGTGGATCCATCTCGTGGAGGACCTGCCTCTTTTTACCGCCACCCTTCCACTTTGCCAAACGATGTCCTTCTCCAGGGATTTGTGCCTTCTGACAATATGTCCAAAGTATGTAAGACATACAGATGAGAGGGTACCCCAAAAACCCAGAATACCCCCCAAAGTTATGTGTTTAATTTTTTTTTTTTTTTAACAAAACAACCTTATCACCTTCAAAGTACCCTCCATTACACTTACTACATTTGTCAAATCTGCGATTCCATTCTGGCTTGCCTCGCGGGGAAAATGCGTACTATGCAAACTCTGCCCAGCGGGGCTTGCTGTTTTCTGTTTTGTTTTTTGCTTTGGGAAAGCCCTTCGTATACAACATGTGCAGCGGGACATAGTGTGCTGCGGGACTCAGCATGGCCTGGACAGGAGCTGCCGGGAGGGTGGTGGGGGTCGGGTTGTGATCAGCAATGTTGGTGGCAGGGAGAAGGTTCCCCAAGGCCTAGCCTGGACTATTTCAAGAATCAACCTGTCAAGATTCCACTAGAATATTAAACAAAACCAAAATTTAAATATTTATTCGCGTCATATTTACAAAGGTAGTTCGGGAGACCAAGGGAAACCCCCAAGCACCCCCACCCCCTCCCCACTCCACCCAGCGTACCAGGCAGGCCCCACGCACTGCGGAGAAGGCAGACACAGCTGGAAGGGACAGGATTTATGTTGCATACTTTAACTACAGCAAGTGTAAGACTGGTCCTATTTACAGGGCAGAGACCACAGGCGGAGCCAGCAAGGGGGCGGCTGCAGCGGGCACCAGAGTCACGACCAGAGGGTGCCCCTGCTCGCCGCGGCCCCGCCTCGCCTCCTCGAGGCATCTCTGCAAGCCCGCCAGGGTGCTGGTGGGGAGACCGGGCCTGCTCACATGATGCTCGCGGGGGTGAAGACGGGACCCACGCACAAGGTGTCGGTGATCTCCCAGCCACAAGACAGAGGCTTGCACACGTCCTCCGCGTCCTCCTCTGGTTCTGGAGGCAGCAGCTGCCTGCGCAGTGCTTCCCTGGAGGACAGAGAGAGACGAGCAGGTCCTGAGTAGAAACCATGGCGGTTGGTGGACAGGATAAATGCCATGCGACTTTGATGGGGGTGCCCCTCAGGAACTCGGCCCCTCCAGAGCTCGGCAGGAAAGGCCCGCTCAGTTGCTTGACTGTGCACCCTCTGTGACACTGCTGATCTTGTCGCAGGCTTGTGTGGAGGGGGAAAGAAGAGTCCACATCTGGCCCGACAGTCAGGGCTTCACAAACCTGGCTGTGTCGCTACCTGGCACCAGCCCGGGGCACTTGCGCTCATGCACAGTTCTCGATGGGAAGGCTGAG